AACATGAACAGAGATTCACCAAAGAACATTAGGAAAGATAGGAAAGATGTGCCACGGATGAAAAAGACAATCCAGGCTGCTTTGAATGTGCCAGAGCCATGGTCTGGAAAAATGGTAAGAGCTCTTGCATTACAGCAAGTAGGTCCCTGGTTTGATCCCTGGTTTGATCCCTGGTGATAATATCTGATGGAGTTTTTAATGTAGCTGTGGAATAATTACAATAGAATAATGATTATCAGGATCATAATCAGTCACAATTAATCACAACTAATTGAGATACACCAATATTGCTAAATTGTTTAAAAAGGAGTTAGATGGAGTATAGCTTATCTATTGCCATCCCTTCACCAATATAAAGATTGCTTCCTGTTTTTGTCCCCCATTTTTGAAAAAAATAAAATTTTGAATTTTGAAAAGTAGATTATTTCTTTTACATATATAAAAACAGACTTAAGTTGGCCTTAAAAAACAGCATGAAGTCCAATCCCTGCCTTTGAAGCTTATTGTTGTAATTTTCATTCCAAAACTAAGGTTTGTATTTTGTAAGTTGGGTATTTCTTAGTGCTCCCTTCCACTGTCTTCAATCACCGCTGTCAATACTCTGTCACATCACATTTCCTGTGGTTGAACTTCAAGATGAAAGGTAGAGCTACCTCCTCCGCCCGTCTCTTTCTCTGCACTGATATACATCTCAGGCTAGAGGCCTCACTGAAAAGCTCTCTCTGTGTAATTAGGGTTAATTGGAGACATTTTTGACCCTGGGGAGAATTTTTTTTTCTAGATTGAAGGCGAAAGCCAAAATTAAGCATAGAGATTGTGGATGGTTTGTGGTGGGGGCTATATACGAGATCCTGTCTGTTGTGCCCTCTTGACCTACCCAGAGGTGCTGCTTGTGTAAGGATGATTGGTGAAATTGGGAACAGGGGGATTTCAAGCGTGGTTCCATTGAAGTTCATTGAATGGATGTCTTGAGATATCTGAACCAATTGTGTTATTGTAACGGGAATGAGACCACTCTGAGGGCACGTTTTGGATTTTGCTTTTCATTTTATTCAGGTCATAAATTAACAAAGAACTTCACATCCATTAAAATATTATTTACTCAGGAAGAGGTATAACATCTTTGGGGGAAGTACTGTAACACTGTATGTTTCTTTTCTTTTCTTTCTTTATGGACCACTGCTAACAGGTGAATTCATCAGCAGTGGATTCATTGCTGCCTATAAGCATGGTCTATAGTTGTCATGGAGCACAGACAGGGTTTCTCCTCTGAGGCTGTGGTGCTAATCTCCTACAGCCTTAATGTGATTATGGTAATGATCACACAAATGACCCCTGGGCTTTGGGGGATCCACAGTTCACACACTCTTACGCCCAGACTACACAGGCTCTCTGACTCCACTAGCCTGCATGTGAGACCCCCGGTGGCCTGCTCTTTTTCTTCTTTCCTCGCTAGGCTTGGAAGAGTAGAGTGAATGACCAGATAAATTCCATCCAGCCACAATAGAGCTGGATGGCCATGAGAGAGATGGAAATCTTTTGTTGTCTGACATCCAATGCCATATTCCAATCCAATTACCTCAACCCATACAACCTTTGCTATTGCAATGCGCAGCATTGAAGGCTGCCTGAATCCAGCCTGGGATCTCCAGCAAGAATGCAGTGGATTAGTTGCTTGAGTGAGTCATCCTTTCTCCGACATTCACTGAAATCTGATGCAAATTCCATTTAAAAGATTCAAAACGAACCAAGTTATTTATACTTTTCAAGTTATTGATGTCCCACTCAGAAAAAATATTATTCATTTACATTCCTGTCTGTGTTGTTTCAACAAAGACATTATTGTGGACAGTCAACAATGACTGTTAAGTGAAAAGACAGAATACAGGTGGATTACACTGCATTAGGTATTTGTGAAAGTGACACGAACATCCTTTCAGAAATGCGTAATATCAGGGCTGTGGGTGTGACCTCAGCTGCAAAGGCCTGTGATTGGACAGAAGGATAAGTCCCTGCTTGACTTTGCTTCTTATTATTATAGACACTGTAAAACAAGTTTAATGTTTGCCACCATCTAGACATGAGCTTCGTTTATTATATAGCCTTGTATACCTTTCAAGGTTTATATAAGAATGCACAACCATTTTGAGGACAAATTCATTCATTTGTCCTCAAATGCCCAAATAAGCCACGAGGGGAGCAGTTATCGGGCAATGGAGCACAAACTGGACAACACCAGTCCACACTGGGCCACATATAGAGATAAATAACAATTCCCTTTTTACAATTTACAATTGAACTAATCCTGAAACACACTATTCTCTTGCTTTCGTATAATCTCACTCACTATTTTTATTTACGCCTTTTCACTTTCACTAGCTTTTTTAGGTCCCATGTTCATTTGATTTATAGAATAAAAATAAATAAAGAAATAAATAGCTCAGTGCGACAAATACGACAAAATCAGCCAACAGTTCTTAGCGTGTATATTCCCAGGATGGACTGACGCCACACACTCAGTCACTCAGTGATCACTTACTGCTCGCCTGATGTTGTTGGATCGTTCGGCAACCAAGTTATGCTACGACAACTAGGGCAATTTTTGGTAAAACATTTGGTTCATGAACCGAATTGTTCGAAAAGGAAGT